TAATTAACTGACAAATAATTGGCTTCTACTCCATTCTCTTAGAATATTTTTGGAAATTAAGTAAGACAAGCAGGTTAGATATTTATGAAGCACACTGAAATGATCATGAAATTAGGAGGGTTTATGAGAAATAAAATATGATCAGGTGATAACTAGATTTTGTTTGCAATTTCTGAGAAAAGTTAACAAATTTAAGTGTGAACTTATTTTACCATTATGTGTGAAAAAAGACTGAAATATCAAAGTTGAAAACAGAAAAGCAAGAATTAAAATAGACAAAACATTTTAATGAAAACAATCTTAGTGATCTTTACTGTAATTTTATTTGCACAATCTGCTGTTGTTGTTAGGTGCTATAGAGTCAATTCCAACTCCTAGCAACTCTATGTACAACAGCATAAAACATGGCCCAGTACTGCACCATCCTCACAACTGTGGCTATACTTGAGCCCATTGTTGCAACTGCTGTGTCAATCCATCTTGTTGAAGGTTTTCCTCTTTTTTGCTGAGCCTCTACTTTACCAAGCATGCTGTCCTTCTCCAAGGACTAGTCCCTCCTTCTAACATGTCAAAGTATGTGAGATGAAGGCTCTCCATCCTTGCTTCTAAAGAGCATTCTGGCTCTATTTTTCCAACACAGATCTGTTTGTTCTTCTGGCAATCCATGGTATATTTCATATTCTTTACAACACTATAATTCAAAGGCATTGATTCTTCTTTGGTCTTCCTTATTCATTACCCAGTTTTCTTATGTGTTGCTTATTGGTTCAGTTGTAAGGATTTTTGCTTTTTTTATGTTGAGATATAATTCTTACTGAAGGCTGTAGTCTCTACTCTTTACCAGTAAGTGCTTCGAATCCTCCTCACTTTCAGCAAGTAAGGTTGTGTCATCTGCATATCACAAATGAGTCCTCCTCTAATCCTGATGCTGAGTTTTCCTTCATACAATCCAGCTTTTCAGATTATGTGCTCAGCATACACACAGAATAAGTACGGTGAAAGGATACAATCCTGATGCACACCTTTCCTCATTTTAAACCACACGTATCCCCTTCTTCTGTTTGAATGACTGTTCCTCTTGGTCTACGCACAGCACAATTAAGCATTCTGGGATTCTCATTCTTCACACAATGGCACAATGTATATTATCTGGCATGCCTGAGTTATAAACCACAATAAGGAAAATCTATTGCTGGACATTTTACGCACAATAGTACTAGACAGTTTAAGGATGAAAAACAAGTTGCAATTTGTAGAACAGCCACTAGATGGCAGTGATTACAAGTAAATCTATGTTTATCAAAGCAGGTAAGCTATAATGCAGGCTACCAGAGCCTACTAGAAAAAAATAGTAACATCAGGAAATGAAGGTGAAAAATAACGTTAATTTTATGTGGAAAGACTGGGACTCTCATACACTGCTGGTGGGACTGTAAAATGATATAACCACTGTGGAAAGCAGTATGGCAAAAAGTTGGAATTAGACATACCATTTGACCCAGCAATTCCATTACTAGTTATATATCTTAAAGAAGTAAGAGGCAGGACAAGATATATGCACACCCACGTTCATCACAGCACTATTTACAATAGCAAAAAGATGAAAACCACCTACCTGCCCATCAACAGAAGAATGGATAACCAAACTATAGTATATACACACAATGGAATTACTATGCACCCTAAAGAATAACGTAGAATCTGCAAAACACCACATAACGTGGATGAACTTAGAGGACATTATGCTGCGTAAAATAAGTCAATCACAGAAGGACAAATATTGTATTAGTCCATTATAGTAAAAAGTCAAGGAAAGGTTTATATATATGGAAGAAAATTTTCTTTGTTGGTTACCAGGAGTGGGAGGGGAGGGGAAGGTAAAGACAAATTAGATAGGTAGGTAGATAGGTAAAGACAAGTATTGATTTGGGTGAAGGGAAGGGCAGTGTACCAAATGTGAGTGATCAACATGGTGGCATTGGGGAAGAGGAAGACATAGAGAGGTGCATTTGAAGTACAGACAACAAAGATGAACCCTTTTGCACATACAGTACTGCGTTGTCAGTGATGGCAAGCACTGATATCCAGGTGGATAGATGGGTGGAAAGGCTGAATGATTAGGTAAGTCTATGAAGGGGGAAGTGTGCCCAAGACCCAACTCATGTACAGGGTTGGCAGACAACGTTTCTACAAGTGTTATTTGTGTGTTCTATAAGAATTTCCAGGTATACAGTAAGCTGACAAGGGACAAGATTGTAGTCACCTCTTGGCCACAGTCAGCTAACCAGAGGAAGCAAGTAGTTGGACCTGTGGGCTCGGGACCATGGTCGCAGGCGGCATCAAGCTCAACTGGCATAACATACTACACAATAACACTGTTCCACAAATCCTACTTTGGCAAGTAGAGACTAGGACCTTAAAAGCTCACAAGTGGCCATCTAGATGCAATGATGGGTGTCTCCTCATCCAGAGCAAAGAAGAATGAAGAAAACCAAAGACACATGGAAACAATTAGTTCAAGAGACTGGTATACCATGTCTTCAGCCTATATGACCATGAGACCAGAAGAACTAGATGGTGCCGGGCTACCACTGTCAACCACTCGGAGAGGGATCACCTACATGGGAGATCCTGGATACAATGGGAGAACATGTGGGACAAAACTCAAAATCATTAAAAAAAAAAAAGGGGGGGGGTTATCAGGTTTGCTGGTCTGATGGAGCCTGGTAGAACCACTGAGACTATGGCCCTAGCTACCCGTTAGGTCTGGAATTGAACCCACTCCTGTGGCTTCCAGCCTAACAAAAGACAGGCATATGAGCAGAACATTTACATTAGGTAGATACACTCCTTGGAGAGATCAATCATGGGAGAGTAGAAGGGCTGTCTATGCACAGGGAGAGAGCTCGGAGGGCAGGAGTGCATAGGAGAGAAAGACACACAGGGAGGAGGTGGCTATGGGAAGGAAGTGGAAGAGAACTGTTGCACTGTGGGAGATCGCAGTCAACATCATGAGACAAAGTGTATGTGAACTGCTGGATGGATGATGAATTTACTCTGTAAACTTTCACCCAAATCAAAATACAATTTAAATAAATAAATAACTTCTAATTTTACACTCATAATATTAGTGCAATATTTATATAATGAGAAGAAAAATAAAAGTTGTAGAAATTTAATTTATTACAAGTCCAGGCATTTATACTTTGCTACTCTGGTAGCATAGTGGCTAAGACACTTGCCTGCTAACCAGACGGCTGGCGGTTCAAACCCACCAGCCACTCCTCGGAAGGAAGGTTGGGCAATCCTACTTCCGTAGTGATACTGCCTCGGAAACCCAAGGAGGGGTCGCTATGAGTCGGGGCCGACTCGACGGCAAACAACAACAACAACAACAACAATGTAAATATACCACCATTAGCCAAAAATAAAGTCATAAAAGAGTCTAGGTTAACTAACACTATTACATCAGTGAAAATGTTTTCAAATATAATAAAGATTAAATGAAATATACTGGCATTAAGTGAAATAATAGAAATGGAGAAATAAAATGACCAGAATCAAATAATTAAATTGTGCCAAATAACATTTTTTATTTCTAAAGAACAGGTATTTGTGCTACAAATTTCTAATAAATTTAAATTCTTTCTTTTCTAACTAAGATTTCTTAAAAGACGTAACTATTAAAAGAATTAATGTTTAAGCTGCTTTTTAAAAAAAAAAAAATGTGTAGGAAGTTAGTTAAAATATAATAAAGGCTTTTCAGTTGAGCCAAAACAACCGACAAATAGTACAGAACAACAGTGATTTGTAGTGAAAGAATTAATTTCCTTATTCATGGTACCTAACATATCTAACTAAAAATTATAAATAAAACCAAAATCACTGCTGTCAAGTCATTTTCAACTCATAGCAACGCCTCCTTGAGTTTCTGAGGCGGTATCTCTATGGAAGTAGATTGCCCAATCTTCCTTCCAAGGAGTCTTCTGGTTAGCAGTCAAATGCCTTAGCCACTACACCACCCAAGCTCCCAAATAAATAAAACCATAGTATTTAAATATTGCATTTTCTCAAGCTAGGAGCTCTGGTGGTGTCGTGATAAGGCACTTATCACTACAGAAGGTCAGCAGTTCAAATCCATCAGCTGCTCTATGGACGGAAGACAGGGCCATCTACTTCTGTAAAGATTTACAGCCTTGGGAACCCAAATGAGGATCACTATGAGTCAGAAAAGAATTGACGAATTGATGGCAGTGAGGTTTTTGTTTTTGTTTTTGTTTTTGAGTAGGCAACCTGAATACAATCTAGTACATTAAATAGAAAAATATAACCCCTCCCAAGCCTATGTGGTTCTCTATTTCTGTTTTTCAGCAGATGCAATAAAAGGATAGTAAGCAAGAAAAAAATGTCAAAATGGAGAAAAAAGGTGAATAGATATTCAGACTGCAAAGTAACTCAAGAAGTATACATTTTCCAATTTTAAAGCTCAATTTAGCATTTTAAATAAGTAAACTTTTCCTTGGTTTATTATCAAGATAAACCTTATAATGAAAAAGAATTAAGTACTCTATATAAGGCTCAAAAGTTTGACTGATCATTTAACCAGGCTGAGGGCAGAAATGAATGATACCATAGTCTAATCTAAGGAATTTACTTACACAAATATTAGGTTTCCACTGCTAGTTTATTGAATGTCTTAATATTATTTAGGAAGTTTACTATGTACCAATACCTATGTAAGGAATTAAAATAACAAAGACCATGATACAGTGTCCTCTCAGAAAGTTTAAATTTTCTTGACTTTATAAGGCAAATATTAAATTAAGAATTTTTGAAGACATTAAAAAATATTAATCAACTACTCACCATTTCACCATTTCCCCCAAATTATACTTAAACTTTCAGGTCTGATTTTTTTCACTATATTGCTTCAAACACACAAATAGCCAATACTCGCCAAAAAAAAAAAAAAAAAAGTGTCAAAAGGAAAAATCACTTACTGAAAAATGCCAGCATGAAAATGCCATCATTACCCACTCTAAGCTGGTCTGCATCACTGAAGTCATCTCTTGGTGGACACTCTTCCTCCTGAATCTATAAAACATTAGCAGACCTCACTAACATACTGTGACTTTAGCATCTTAAAGGTATGGACAAGAACTTAAACAAAATAAAATCTAATATCCTTAATCTGTTGCAAAGACAAAATAGTATAATAAGGGGTCTAATGTATAACATGTATAAGTATTCAATAAACAGCAATACCACTTTCTCACGAACTCCCTTGAAAAGAGTAACTTCAAAGACAAGTAGAAAAAAGATAAGAGATGAGTTACAGAACTATGAACATGGTGAGAAGAATGACAGTTGTGACACTTCTGCAGTAGTGTCAAATAGAAAAACAGCACCTTTCCTACATCAGTATGGAAGTGTGCACTGGTATGATCTCAATGGTTGGCAATTTAGCAATATTTACCAAAAATAAAAACGTATACACCCAGAAATTGTAGATCTGAAAATAAATCCTTCAGATGTACAAATATGTTCCCACTTACAAGAAACAATGTATTAAAGATAATTCACTACAAAAATATTAGTAATAGCAAATGATTAGACACATCTAAAAGCCCATCAACAGGGAACTGTCAGGAAATCATTTTATATGGGTCTCATGTTTCGGCATGTCTTACAGGTAGAGACAGTGACTAACAGCCTTTCTTCTAGGTTATCTCTTCAAGGTAGATATACAGCAAATAGCAGTTAAGAGAAAGAATCTCCTTCCAGAGCACAGCAATAGGCGTATTTACTAATCATGAAAAACTATTTGGGTTCCCTAAGCTCAGGGTTCCTTTCCTGTAACAAAACCTAAAATGTAGAGAAGTATTTGGTCCTCTTTGCATTGCCCTGAGGTAACAGAGGCTTAGGGAACTAGCACAAGAAAATGGTAAAAACTCTTGCTGTGAGTAATAAAGTCCTTTGTCTTTAAAGAATCTGGCAGTCTCATCTTTTGCCCATGAAACTGTAGCAAGCTAATCAGTTAGCTTGCAAGTAGGGTAAATTCTCAAACTGTTCACAGTTCTTGACAGACTGGTGAAATTAACTGTGTATCTATGTAATAAAATTCAAAAAATAGTATAAAATTTAAAAAAATAAATTTAAAAAAAAAAGTTCTTAAATTCTAATATGAAAAACCTCCAAAATAGATTAAGTACAAGTTGTTTGAACAGTATAATACTTTCATGTACACATTATTGTATTTACCTGTAAATGTAGAGAACGTCTCTGAAACTATATACAAACCCTGTTAGGACTGACTGTCTCCAATACTCAACAAATATTCATTGAACACCCATTCTATGAAATACTGTTTTATGGCCTTTAGGAGACATCAGTGTACAGAAAACAAAGATGCTTGCCCTTTTGAAGCCTGTACTTATGGGGAACCAAATAAACAAAGTCACATTAAATAAGTCATTTATACATTTATACAATTATTAAAAGGTATAAGTTCTGTACAAAAACAAAAGGATATCTGGTAATGCAATGGGGGTAAGGTACAACTTTCATGTTTCAGGCAGAGGAAAATTTGAGTGCAAAGGTCCTAAGACAGGATCATGATTCATTTCAGAGAAATAGCAAGGAAGTTAGCATGGCTGGACCAAAGTGAACAAGAGAAAAAGCAAGAAGAAATAAGATCAGAGAGGCTGACTGAAAAACTTTGAGTTTTAAAGTGAAATGGGAGGTCTTACAGGGCTTTGTTTAGATGAGTGACATGATCTGATTTACATATACACATTCTCTCCATGCTACATATCTATTCATTTAAGTTAAGTTAATGTAATTTTGAGTTAGTACAAACAGAGGTTTAGAGAAGCTAAAGGTCCTGCTCAAGATCATATAACTAATAAGGTAAAGGCAGAACTTGAATCCAGGACACCAATGTTCTTTCCACACTAGCATGGTAGTTTCATTCATGCTGCTTTCCTTAAAGAAAAAGACATTCAAAACAGTGTTGAGCTTTATCTGGGTTCAAAGATCACTTAAGTTCTGCAGTCATGTACCCTCGTCAAACTTCATATGGTAAATTTAATGACTGCCAAGGATTAAATATATATTAACAAAATTTTATAGAACTTCAAATTAATTCAGGAAATAAACTTTATAGTATGAGCAAATCAAAAACACTGTCAATATGATGACAAGAATATAAATATTTCACTCTTTCAAAATACTAGTCCAGAGATTTTCTCAAATGACATCATTTTTTAAAAGATAGAAGATATATACATAAAGATGTAGTTAACAGCATTAGTTAATCACATACATGCAAACACACTTGACAATAATCTAACTAGTCACTATAGAAGAATGACTATATTGATTCCATGAACTTTCACTCAACCATTCAAATATTAAATATTTTATATAAAACATTTAAACAATGAAAGTTGGTATTTACACAACAATGTCAACTACTTTAAACACCAATTAATACACAGCAGGTAACATCTAGGTGATAGAAATAGGAACACAAGATCCCTATCCTGAAGTTGGTCCAATTTATCAAATGTTATTGAATATGGCAAAAAGCAAGTTAACTAAAACAACCTCTAAATTACTGAGAAATAAATCCTATAGCTGTAAGATGAGCCTAACTAATGAATAAACCATGTTTTACAGAGTGAATTATTTTAAATTCAAATATTTTTTCAGAGAAACATTAAAAATAATAGTTCCTGCCCATAAATCTATTTAAATCATGTCATAATATACAGGCAAACCTATTTATGAGAAATACAAAATAAGAAACAGTATTATTTCAACATCTTTGGACTACATACATTCTCCTAATGACAGAGATTTTTAAGCTATCAGCTCACCCAGCTTTGAGACTCATTTACACTTAAATATACTTACATATTAACCAAACCAGTTTTTTTTTTTTTTTTAATCTGAAGCAGGTTTGGAGACACATATGCATATGCACATATGCATAGTTTGTAGAAAGAAAGCATGACAACACTGGGTTAGAAAGCACTAATGAATTTGAAAGATTCTTTTTTTACAAGGATTCTCATGTTGTACTCACATACTCTAAAATCAGTCTCTTGTATACAATTCCAGTTTGTTTCCCAAGAAGTTTTCTACAATCCCCTTGATTCACAAGCTGAGATTAAAACAAAAATCAGAACCAAGTGAAAACACTTTTCTTTATACACATGTTCCAATTCAGGCTGAGAATGATGACATTTACTTTCTAAAATCAGATACTGGAAATGATGACAGTGAAGGGATAAAATAGAAATACTTCAGAGTTTTCTCTCCAAAATAGATAAAATCTCCTTTATGCTTTTCTCAAAGCACATACATTGCTATTGTTGTTAGCTGTCACTGAGTCTACCTCTGACTCATGGCGATCCCATGCACAATGGAACAAAATGTTGCCCCATCTGCACCAATGTCATAAGTAACTACAGACAGGACCGCTGTGATCCATAGGAACTTCGTTGGTGGATTTGTCAGAAATAGATCACTAGACCTTTCTCCCTAGTCCATCTTGGTTTCCATGCTCCACTGAAACCTGTCCATCATCAAAGCAACATGTGAGCCTTCAGTGATGGATGGTAGCTGCTAAGGATGTAGCTGCCTATGAGATGCACGGGCTGGAAATCAAACCCAAGTTCCCAGCATGGAAGGTGAGAATGCTACCACTGAACCACCAAAGCAAGATGTAGTGCCTCCCACATTTTCTTAGCGTAGTGCCTAAGGCACTTGACTGTTAACCAGAAGGCTGGCAGTTCAAATCCACCAGCCACTCCTCGGAAGGAAGTTTCGGCAATCTACTTCTGTAAAGATACTGCCTCAGAAACCCAAGGAGGGGTCGCTATGAGTCATGTCTGACTCAAGGATACATAACAAAAACACTTTCTTAAGAGTTCTATCCTACTACAGGTAATTTAGGGCAGTAGAAAATCCAAGATCTATAATATACAGCCTTTGAAGACCTTCCATATTTCCAAAGTCCCAAAGAAGACACACCCTAAAGAACGGAGTTATTATCCTTCTACTTCAATTAGTGCATTCATGTATACAACTGCACAAACACAAGTGCAAAGCATTCTAGAGTTGATTTTAATAGCAATTCAATACTTTAAAGACCAGCCTTATCTATGATTCTATCCTCCCAACATCAAAAATCGGAAACCCAAGGAGGGGGTCGCGATGAGTCAGGGCCAACTCGATGGCACATGACAACAACACTATTATTACTTTTGTCCTTTTTACTGTCATTCTTTATTCTTCCCTTCCCAGGTTCTAGTTTTCAGCTTTTTTTCTTTGCCCTGTTCATGGTCCCCCTTTCTTTTTCTTTCTTGTGGGTAACCGGGTTCCTTGTTTTTCTTTTTACATTTTTCCCATTTTTTTCTTAATTATTTTCCTTCTCTGCTTGTTTCTCTTATTACCCTCTCCCCAGATATTACGGTGCTTTTTTTTTTTTTTTTTTCCTTTTCTTTTGGTTATTGTTCCTGTGTGATTACACGGTGTGTTTTTTGGCCATTTGCTTTTACTTTTTTGATGGTTATTCAATTGCTATTTTTGTCTGAGTGGAGACAGCAACAGTCCCCATACAACACAACTACATCCACACCTCCTGCAGCTTCACTTACTGAGTGAGAGACACCACCTCCATCTCCACCAATGGGCCTATGATAAAAAACCACCAAGAGCTTAACTCGCCCTTATCTGCTCTTCACAAAAAGTTAACAGAGTTCTGAAGACAACAAAGTCACAATGTCTCGGAGACAAAAGACCATCACAGTCCATACAAAGAAACAAGATGAAGTGGTAGGAACAAGGGAGCAGGATACAGACCGAGGACACATCCATGAGGAAGAAACAGCATTGGAACTCTCTGATAAGGAATTCAAAAGAATTATATTTAGGTATCTTCAAAGGACTGAGATACAGATCAAGGAAAGCACAGACAAATCCCTAGAAGAGTTCTGGAAGAAACTAAAAGAACAAAATAACAAAATAAATGAAAAATTAGAAATGATTCTAAATCTACAGATAGAAATCCAGAAGATTAATACTAA